TCCCGCCGTGGCGCCCACCCCCAGCGCCCCGGCGCGTCTCCCCGGTCCCGCTGCCGGCCGAGCCGCCAGCCCGTTTGCTCGCAAACCTGGCGCAGGAAGGTGTGGGATTGGCCTTAACACCGAGTTACAGATAAAGAAACTGGTCGTTAGGGCCAATGAAGCGTGCAGCGCGGGTGCAGTGGATGTGCCATTTAAAGCTAGGGCTTGTTTTATTTTAGTCTTACGGTCCAAGGTTCTTCTGGCAGCTGCAGCCCCGTGCAGTTTGCTCTGTTCAGCTGTAAACAGCCTGCAGCAGGTATCGGACAGGAAACTGCCGAAAAATTCGCGTGTAATTTAGGGTCCTGAAGGAGACTTTACAAGCAACAGCTAGATGCAATCAGCAAGCATGTGCATGCAATGTGTAGCTCAGAAGGTCGCACTGACTTTTGGAGAGCTGCTCATTAGTTTAAGGCACTAAGATTTTTAAGCATTTGAAGGAGCCATACCAAATTTGTAAAACAGTGTCATTTTTGCTAACTGCTAAAGGCTTTTGTGAATTAGTTAACATACTTGTACTGCTAACACTGGCTAACCCAATGCACTGGTTGTTAAGAAAACTCAAATCATAACTTTACAACTGAGTTAGGTCTGATTTTACAATCAGAAAAGCTCATGGTACTCTGGAAGCAGGATATTAATCCATTAGCCCGTGATGGAATCCTCTAAGGCTTTGAGTTTTTCTGGAGATATCTAAAGCAAGCTCAGATGACAAGAGGTGCTGCTGGAATTTGCAGGAATGGCATCCTAATGTCTCTGTTCGCAGAATCACAGAATGCTTGAGGTTGGAAGGGACCTCTGGAGATCATCCAGTCCACTGCCCACCCCGCTCAAGCAGGGTCTCCTACAGCACGTTGCCCAGGACTCTGTTTTTCCTTATGTTCAGATAGAACTTCCTGTGTTTCAGTTTGTGCCCGTTGCCTCTCGTCTTATCGCTGGGCACCACTGAGAAGAGTCTGGCCCCATCCTCTTGACTCTCTCCCTTCAGATACTTATACACATTGATAAGATCCCCCCTCAGTTCCTCCTTTTCCATCTACAGATGTGCAAAACAAAGACTCCCTGGGGTACTATGAACCTTACCTACCGCCCATTGCTACTACTAGACTTATAATCAGATTTATTATTTATTATTATTTATGGAGCTAGCAGACAGGATTCTATTGGAAACTGTCCAAACATACACAAAAATGTTTCCTGTCCCAGAGTGATGTGGCATTTAATGGACAGCTGATACCTGTGCACCACATACAGTTTCAGCGCATCTGTTGACCCACTAACAAACAAAGGAGATAAATTGTCTTTCACTGTTCATTTGCTTTTCAAACCAACAATTACTTACTAATTTTTCAGAGGCAACATTTGCAGAAGTGTATCTTGATCTCCAGTCTGTGGCTCCTTGCAAGACCTGATACAGCCATGAAGTGAACCCTGCTATGAGTGTTATTGACTGGAGAAGCATGCATGTTGGTCTCATAGTTGAACTGTTCTCCATGGGCGAGCAAAGATCTGAAACAACTTGCAGAAGAGAATGGTGATCTGACATGCCTGATCCAGTGGCGTGCTCCATTTGAGAGAAATACCACAAAAAAAAAAAAAAACAGAAAAGTTGTATGAGGGATAAATACTGAGATGTGGTCAGTACAGACTCCTGGTCAAATCTCAGCTTCTGGCATTATATGAACATAGCAAATTCTCAAGTTTTGAAAAAAAATAACAAACCAGCCTGTACCGTTTGCCACATTTTAACACACATAATTATAAATCAAAACTTTAAAATATGTTTCCAGTGTTACTGCTGTTGGGACAGATACATGAATCTGCAGATTTCTGGGATACCAGGTTTATGAGGGGAAAGCTGTTAGCCTTACCCATGGGGTGCAAACTTCAAGACTTCCTCTGGGGGACATCATTGCCATGACACAGACTTACTGTGGCCATTATGTTATACGGCTGGACTCTGCTTGTGGGAAAAGAGGGAAGAAACAGCTGAAAATATCTCCTGCCACCACTCCAGGATGAAGTGGGAGGTCCTCTTCGACTGTCTCCCTAGGAAGGAGTGAGGCCTCTGTGGAAAGGAAAGAGTCCTTGTCACTGCGAGGGCCCCCAGTTATCTTATGCAGGAGCATAGGGACTAGGAGGATGTTAATATACAGCAAAGGCAGACGAGAAAGAAGATGAGAGCTATTAACCCAGAAGGGAAATATAAAAAATTTAGGGTGGGATTCATCTTACCTAGCTTTAGCTCTCTGAGGTTATGCACCTCCTGTAATCTACTTGTCTGGACTTAGTGGGGAGAGACAGACATGTCCCAAGATAATTCATCTCCCTAGCTTAGACAGCTATGTTAGAGTAGGAAGAATTGCCTTCTGGAAGTGTCTCTGTGCCTCAGCTGATAATCAAAGGAGCGACCCTAAACAACACACCTAACTTTCAAAGTTAGGTAAGATAAATCCTGCTCTAAAGTTTACCTGAATGACATAGAGTTGCAGCGAAAGGGATCTGAAGAGAAAAAGAGTTATGTTTAGATTGACAAATGAGGAAAATGACCTTTAGTAGCTCCGTTTTTCCTTTCAGCTTTGGTTAGAGCAAAAAGAAAAGGATACGGTTTCCAAAGAAAGCTCCTTGCCTCAAACAGATAAGTCATAATTTACAAACCCTCAGCACTGAAACAAATACATGGTGCAAATGGACTGCCATTTCCTTTGTATCAGAGGAATTGACTCCTCTTTGACCTTGTTCAAGTCTACAGAATCATCTTAACTGAAAAGCAAGCAAATTAACAGCATCAAAGATGTTGCTACAGATGTTTTTATGATGAACAGATATGTGAGAAATAGCTACAGACTTAATTTTGTTTTTGACACCCTGCCTCGACATCACACATCCTCTTTGCAGCACACTCTGTATAGCAAGACAGCCTTGAGCACACACACGTCCTGGTCTCACATACTGTGGTGTTCAACGAGAGCCAAACCACAAGAGTTGTGACTAACAGATGTGACCTTTTATTGGTTTGCTTTATAATGCATTTGATGATGGGATGAATCCACAGCATATAACCTTCATTCTATCTGTGTGATCCAACACGTCTTCAGCATCATGTGCTTCCCAGAAATGAGTTTTGGAGAGTCCTGCAGTGTATGATCTAACAGGGCTATGGGGAGAGTCATCATGCCTGAAGAGCATTCCTAACTGGCACTAATTTTCAGGGGCTGAGGGCAGCAGCTGAACCGGCTTAAGAGGTCGCCATCCTTTGGCTTACTCTTATCCCATCCACCACAGATCTCTGCCCCTTTCCATCTGCTAGAATGGTATGTAGATGCTACATCTGTCAAAGGAGCAAAAAAAAGAGAAAGAGGGAGAGAGACAGAGATAGAGAAATAGAGAAAGGGAAAGCAAGCAAGCAAGTGATGAAAATCTAGCTTAAGCTGAAGTGGATGATTTTGACAGAAATGGGTTAGGGAGCAGCTACACTTGAAGTTAACTTACATATAACAGTAAGGAGTATGGGGCAGACAGCTGGACATAAGCTGGGAAAAATAACCTTATATCCCAGCTGAGTTGCAGTGAGAACAGTGAGTATGACAGTGCTCAGAGTAACTTTGTGCAAATTATTTAACAGCCCAGTTCATTTTTCTCTAGAGGGTGTACAGAGATACTTCCCTGTCTCAAAGAGATGTTATGAAGCTTAAACAACTCCTGCAAAGAGAATTTTTTTTTTCTTTTGTTTTCTTTCATATTCATTTTAGTAGTTTCAGTGCTGGGGAGTGGAAGGGAGGGAAACATATAAAAGCTGTGGGGTTGAGGGTATACATTATTCTATCAATTTTACAAGTCAAAGCTCTGGCACAAATGAGATTCAGGAAACAAAATGTAATTCCACAGAGAAAAATGCAGCTACGTTACATCTGGTGAAAAATAATTCAAATCACAGCTATTCATGGGGAAGCAGGAGTCTCAGAAGCTGTAACGCTGAAAGAGACCTAAAATAGCAGCAGAGCAGACAGTAAATTAGACATGTCTGCAATTTAAGATGATGGGGAGGAAAAAAGCAGAAACAAAAAAACAATGGCATAGTATACTTCATAAACAGAAATTGTAACAAAGGCCCCTGTTAGCGCTATTGTAGTATAAACAAACCCCTTGGAATACTGCATTCAGTCCTGAGCATCTTCTCATCAAAAAGACATCAGCAAGTATAAAGAAGGCCATTTAAAAACAGCAGAAGTGATGAGGATTGACCTGGAGAGTGACTGTATGAGTTGAAAGAGCTAAATACAACTAGTTGTGCTGTGCATGGGGTATAGGACCCAGAGCTATGAAAAATAGAAACGGCATAAAGCACCATGAGAGAGGAACTATTTAGGCTTGCAGAAGTGAAAGCACTATTATCATGAGGAAGGGGAAAAGAACATGAAAGATTTGGAGGAATACTGTTACAATGACTTAGGTATAAGATCCACTACCTGCTGGAGTAGTTGCTCTGGAATACTTTTTCTGGTATTTTAAATAAGCACAATGCTAGTGTTTATGCCTGGCCTAGCAAGCGCAGTGGACTAGTTGATCTTTTACAGAGGAATTTTCCAGCTCTAGTTTCTGTGTCTCTAAAGCTTCCTCCTCCATAGAGCAGTGTGGCATGTTAGTGGCAAACCTCTGAGGGAGAAGACAAACAAACTAGCCCTCAGGGAAAGAAGATCTAAATGAAGAAAAGAACTAAAGAATGTTTGTGTGTGATACTTTACAGTCACACCACAAATCATAGTCAAGCAAAGCCAGCGGCAACCGACCGTCCTTATATTGACCTCTACTGGAAACCGTAATGTAAATTTCCAAATTTACAGGAGCCCCAAGCAGCAGAACAGACCCCTTCCTTCCATCCTCCTGCTTTAGTCCTTCCCATCCCACTCCTGATTTTGTTTGTCACTCCACCTTCTCCATCTGCTCCATCTCCCTCTTGCGTTTCATCCCCAAGGTCAGTAAATTGAACGTTTAAATTCATTATTTAGGATCCTGTACATCCATCCTAAAGCCAGTTTCTACACCCTGGGCCTCCGAGTGCTGTGTCAAGGTTTCTAATGACCACATTTCAGTCCATCCTCTCTGACAACCAGCCATTTTTGAAATACACTGCTGAGCTCTTGTAAAATCTGCGTGGCCTTTATCTTCCCTGATAGTCCTACTTCCTTAATTGCTTTTTCAATCTATCCTCTTTCAGCTGCCTGAAGGGTGCTCAGCAAGGCTTTTTTCATTGGTCTCTTTTCTTTTCCTTCACTTTGTCTCCAGGTAATTTCATCCACAAATAAAAGTTTAATTACCAGTGCATAGTTGTACTCTCTGCTCCAGTCCTCTCTCTTCCTTTTCAAAAGGAAGTCATGGTCTGTTTTTCTGTCATGATTTCATAGATGTCCCACCTGTCAACTCAACATAGTTGAAATACAATTCATAATCTTTGTTCTCACAGCTAGCTTGCTACTTCTATTTTAGTTACTGCATATATGACCCACCTGCCTATCACTCATCCAAGAATTTGGGCATTGTTTTTAACTCAAATCTTTCTCTAGGTCCTCATATTCAGGCTACGTTTAAATTTTCCAGACACTTTCTGTACGGCGTCTTTCAAAGAAAGTTCTTATTCATTCACAGAGCAATATTCCTCAGCCACACTTTTGTTACTTCATGCCAAAATTATTGTGATATCTTTTCCTCTGGCTTTGGAAAATACAGTCTTCACCCATAGCCATCCAGAACAGCGCTACAAAAATCATTGCCCTAGCCTGTTGCTTTGACTGTGAGGCCTCTTACTTTCCGTCCCTCTGTTGACTTCTCCTTCTCTACTTATCACCGCTGCTCTCAGCCTGTCTCTTACTGCAGTTTCTCACTTCATTGTTTCACAATCATTAGCTGTAATCACCACTGAAAAAGGTCATCTCACACGCACACTGGTCAAAGTCATTAGTTCTGCCCAGCGCTCTCTCTCCTTTGTGCCACCAAATATCCATGTGACCGCAAAGTAAATTGGATCAGGAAAATGAATTGGCTTAAAAAAATGGCATCTCCCTTGCTCCCTACTGGGAGCTCAACTTGACTCTCTTCTGCTGATGGCATTGGATAAAGATAATTGGACCTATTTCCATGTGAATCAAGGACATGTTCACTTTTGAGACCAAAAGCAAGGAGTTGATTCCCACAGCCATGCTTCTTTTAAGGCTGTTTGCCACAGTTTCATCAAAAAATAGGATAAGGCCACAGAGATCTCTGTGGTGTGCAAGTGTGATAGCCCTCAGCTGAGGAAAGTCATCACTACTACGCACACTTTCTCATTCCCCTGCCTTCTGAAAAAAATCTGGTAAAGAACATCCCAGCTCTTATTAGTGTCTGCGCCCATCTCTCTGAGAACCATTTATAGCATTCTCATATCACAGTTTTACTCAGGACAGACCAAGCTTTTCCTTGTACAATTAATCAGGGCTAGTGAAAAACAACAGCCTAAGAGCCCAGGAGAACTCACAATCTCAGTGTGTGCCCTTAGTGCAAGGAAAAGCACAGAAAGCAGCAATGCAAGTTTCTTTGTTGTGAGTCCACTAGATACACTAACCTGCTGTTACGGGGCTTACCTTCAGGTCATATCGGATCTGTGGCC